AAMMRKTWMMARCCCCCCTRCACCCACACAAGTTCTGACACACTCTCGCTCACACCTTCACAGCTGTATGTATTCATATGCCCACAGTCACTCCCAAAACAGACAGTAACACCCCTGGTACCTGTGCATTCAGATACCCCCAGACATGYACACACAGACACACCAGTGCTTGTGAGTTCCTGCAATCCTCACCCAAACCACAGCCCTGCTGTGATACCCCAAGACCCATCACTGTCACACCCACCACCACAACCCCACACGGAAAGTCTGTGGAGACAGCAGGCAGCAGCAGCATCCCACAGCCGCCCCTCAGCCCCATGCCCGATCGGTGCCCGGCCAGCCTGCCCCCCTCACCGCCCAGCCCTGCCTGCACACTGGGGTCGGGTTTCCCCCCTCCCAGTACCTGCCTCAGTTCTTGACTTCTGAACTCTTCAGGGAACTCGCTGGCGCCAGCTCCATCAACCAAAGTCCTTGTGGTTAGGAGGAGCTGGGAGAGGAGGGAGGGAATGAGGGCTGGGGCCAGCCAGGGCCGGGAGGCTGCCCTCGGGCAGGGGGCCTTCTTGTCCCACAGGACAGCAGCTGCCTTTACCCTTCTTCAGGATATGCCTGAGCTTCTTCTCCTGCCGCTTGTCACACAGGTGATGTGGGGCAGWGCCTGCTCACCCATCCTGAGCATGTCAGGTTGTTTCTACAGGGAAGCAATAAAACATACAATACCAGTCCTGCACAGTGCCACAGAGCCCCTGCCAGTGAGCTCTGACATCCAGAGGGACCCAGATCTGCTGCCAAGTCCTGAGACCCAGGAGATGTTCCCCCTGCAGTAAATAACACAGCTGCCTGATGCTGCAAAGGTTCCAGTTGATGCTGGGAAAAGCCTTGGCCTCCCCTGCACCAGGGATCCCCCAGGCTGAGCAGATGCTGAAGGCCCCAGAGGGACTGGCCTTGAGAAATCACAAGGTCACCACCAGTGATCCAGTCTGGATAGTGAAAGTCACAGCCCTGAGCTGCTGAGCCCAAGGTAGGGGCTTTTGGGCAATAAAAGCTGCCAGGAGACAGATTACAGGTAAATCAGAATTTCTTCTGTCCAGCACACAGTGAGGACAAAGGAGAAAATCAGGCAGGGAAAAGTTCTGATGRGGATTCAGAATTCCTGGAAGTCCGTGGGAATTATTGATGAGTTTTGGGATGGTGCATAGCCCCAGGATTTATTCCCTGCACAAGCCACAGACTTCACTTGCATCCTTGGAAAAGCCACACAACTCTTGTCATTGGAAGTTTGGGTACCACATGTCTAAGCTCCAGGACAACACCCACTTCAGATGTTCYAGTTCAAATTGCTCCTGGCCTCAGTTTCCCCTTGGGCTCTGCAGGGCTGTGGCTTGAGCAGTGCTGTAGAGCACATGACTCTGGAAATGTCTTGTCTCATTAGGGCTGGCAATCAATATAGAGTTATTTCCTCTAACTCCCTAATTCTGGGGCTGAAGGGGCAGCACTGCAAATTCACACACTAAGACACATGAGAGCCAGTCTTGGTGCTTTCAGGTTCACACCCCAACAGGAGAGTTTACAAAGATCAGCACCTACTTTGAAGTGCATCCAATGACACTACAAATGGATCCCTGGGGTGGGGCCAGAGGCACCCCAGCCCAGCTGTCTCTGCCTGGCTGCCCAGTCCGTATGCTTCCRTTTGCCTAGGGCTGGATTTGTCCCCCTTTGCTAGGACTCTAAATGTCAGCCCCTGCAAAAAGTAATTCAGATATCACACTCTAGGTAGAGCCCAGGGATGCAGGCATTCCCAGATGTTTGCCCAAAGAGCTGCTTAGGGTAGTAGGGTTTTTTCTCTGGTCAGAGAAATCTTATTTTTTAGGAAACACCAATAAGGTGGATCAGACCTCCTTGGAGGTAGATGAAAGTGTCCAATGCAGGAGCAGACACGCGCACTAAGTTGCTGCAAAATTTATTCACTGAGGAAGCCCAGTGTCCTTGAAACTTTTGTCCCTCTTCACCTACCGCAAACAGCTGCTGGGACAAGCTCATTTCCAAAATGGTGCTTCAGTCCTGCCCCAGCTGAGGGTTGAGTGCCTAGTGTATCCATGGTAGGAAATYACAACTGAGATGAGGGCTCTTCCTGATGCATAAGGCTCTCCTCTCCCTCCCCACCAAGTGCCCAGGGATCCTTTCTCAGGTTCTCTCATTGATCGTGTGCATCTGCCTCCTGCTAGCAGAGAAGAGCAGCCCAGCCAGGGCCTGACCTCCACCCTCTATTCCCCTTTTCTTCTGCCTTGCTGTTTTGCCAGGGCTCCTCTCGGCCCCTGAGCCCCTCTGCAGCTCGGGGCTCCCGGGAGTTTGGCATGGCAAGCTGCCTCTCTGCCTCGCAGCTGCTGGCCGGGACACTGCTGCGAAATACAAGCCCTCCTGAGGGGACCGGGGACAAAAGTGGTGTGTCTGARGCCTTGGCAAGATCCCAGCAAAGCCCACTGGGCTCGGTCCGAAAAGTGTACTTCGAGCGGTGCTTTTCCAAACCTGTAAAATCCTCTATTGCTGAGAGTGAGCGATGCCGCGGGCAGGTGCGCGGTGACAAACGCCCCCTCAGCAGAAGGGTGCACCCCGACTCCTTCCCTCCCTCGCTTCGTTGCTCCGGGGCCTCCCGGAGCATATTGTCCATCGTTCCGCACGTCCATCACCTCCCGCAGCTCTTTCTCTTCCGTCCCGGCCCCTGTGAAATCCGTTCGGCGAAGGCGCCGGTGCCCAGGCGGGGCCGTGCGGGCACGGAGGGCTGCGCAGGAGGCTGGCGGGAGAGCTCCGGGGCCAAGACGGCCCCGTCGGGCGTCCTTCGCTTCTCCCTGGACCGGGGGCCGCGGTCTCCGCTGCCGTCGGGGCTCTATCCCTCAGCGCTGCCGTCCGCTCTAAGTTAAGGCCCCGATGTCGCGACAGACGCCGACAGCAAAGCAGGACGCTCT